CCCTCGTGTCTTCGCAAAATGTTAATCATGTCACTTTCAAGCATAATGCTCTCTACAGTTAAAAAAAATAAAGTTGCAAGAGAAACAAAATAGTGTCCGTAACGCCCTTTAAAAACCTGCTGATGCCACGCACTGCTTAATGCCTCCTTTCTTTCAAAAAAAAAAACTACAGGATAAAATACAACAAGCTGGTCCTGCTGATACCAGGTTAATGCCAAGTTTGCTATAAAACGTTGCTGTTAAAATACAGCGTGCTGAAAGAAGTGTTTTTGCAAAAGGCTTCGTTATGTTTTGAAGGGCAGAATGTGGAAATACACCCCTGTTCAGCTCGCCTTTACAGTTAAAATCGCTTCCTTCCAAATTGTCTTTAGCTAATATTGAAATCTTTTCCCCCCCGTGATTTCATGTGTCACAGATGCAGTGGAATTAATACAAATTGTTCAACAGTAGAATAGAACTTTACCAAGTAACCTGTCCAATGTGCAGTTCCTGTCCTTGCTGTGATGTGTACCCCAGCTATCGTCCCACAGAGCACCCTCAGGCCCTTTAGGGAACCATGGACAACATTTCTTTGCTTTTATTTATACATCTATATGTATATTTTATTATTATTATTATTATTTTTAATCACTGAAGAATGCCTTTAAAAGAAAAGCTCCCTAAATGACAAGTAAAGCTATTCTTGGTGATGTTTTTTATAACGTGTACTGGAATTATTTTAATTATATGATAAAAAAATACAAAAATGTGAATTTACACTTTTCTGGATAGCTTAATTCTAAAAAAGAAATATGTTTGATTGGATTTTTTTTTTTTTAAATCATGTACCTGATCAGTTTTTATTAAATATTTCTGGAGACTGTTAGATTAGAGACCACGCCAGATTGAAAATGAGCTATTTTATTTAGAAATAAAAAAAAATCACAAATCTGTTTAGAGCTGACCTTAGCGTCAAAACTGAGATGAAAGAACAAGAGATACCACTCCGGGTTAAAATATAAGCAAATGAATTAGAGTGTAGCAGGAGTATCTATAATGAGTTTCCAATAGACAGAACTTGCGATAAGGGGAAAGAGAGAGGTTATATAATTATGTAACAGTATAAACTGTGGTGTGAAAATATTGGCTTACTACTATTTGCATAATTTGAATTTATTCATGCATGATGAATCTTAAAATAATTCCTCCACTTCCCTTTTTGGAATTCCATTTCTATTAAGTGAAGCTTACAAGTTGGACTTTACATAATTGTTTTCCTCTTTCCTGAATCCTTATTTTTTTAGTACTGCGGTAACCTGGAGTTAGATGACTTTTAATCTTATTTTACAACTATGGTGACAGATATAAGGCATTTATATATCTTCTTGAAGAAGGATAACTTTGAATGAATGAATCTGAGCCATAATTGTCTAAAGGCGATGCACTTTTAACCCTCCAAATGCACCAGAATTATCCCAGTTATGAGAGAGGCAAAAGCAGAGATGAAACTCGGCTGTTTCCTCATTCATACAAAAAGTAAGAAAGAAAGGGATAGATATGGAGAGTAAAGAGCAAGGAGATCTATATTTTTATATGGAAAATGCAAACATAAATAAGGAGGTAAAAACAGCGTCTGAGAGAAAAGGGGAAAGTCATTCAGAAAACTGATGAAATGCAAGTAGAACAATATGAACTAAGCTATTCGTATACTTGAGTCTGATGCTTCCCTAAAAAACAGGTCTGGCTTTTATATTACGTTGCCATTCAAAGATGTTGAATGCACTATCGCATAAATCTCTTTTTTTTTTCTGTGAAGGGTTAACATTCTCATCTCTGCATGTTCTGTTAAAACAAATACTATTATAAATGTCATGCCATTATTTTCAAACAAAGAAGATAAGAGTTTTAGCTGGACATTATGGCTGCCTGCTGCTAAATCTGTTATCCAGAAATATTGCTTGCTTTTACTTTTTACTTTTTAACCACCCGGGATTTATGCCTACACATCCTCTGCATCCACAGCCTGTATGCAATAGGTATCAAAATTATTAGAAGAGCTCAGAATTACTAGGTGTCATTTTACCAAAATAAAAATTTGTGGGAAAGTTACTGTTTAAATATCTTGTCAGCTATGTCCTGATAATCTCTAGTATGCTTTTACTATAATTCCCTAAAAATAAATATTAAAAACATTTTGTGGTTTCACAGCATTAAAAAGAAAAAAAAAAAAAGTTGGTAAGGGTAAACCATAAAACATATATTTGGCTTACAAAAGAAATGTTTATTCTGCTCAGAATGCCAGTGGTTGAGCCTTTTCTTGAGATTTGAGGCTGGATAAAAATGTGTAACAGAGGTTCCTTAAATCTGCCACTGCAGTCGTCCTTCAAGATGTGGCACAGCCAGCCAGTTCCGAGAAAGCCACACTTGCCACCCTGTACTTTCTAGTCTTGGCTGCTATTGTGCATTTTAATAAAGCAAACGGGATTAAAGTCAGGCCTGAAAACAATGAGATGGGTTTTCATATACTTGATGATGTATAAGGAGAAAGTGTGTTCCATCAAATCCAGTATATGCTGTTGGGAGTGCGTGCTTTTGCCAGTCTGACCCGTCAGGCAGAGTAGGTACAGCTCGTGGAACGTCTGTGTTACAGCTATAACACACTGTAAATAGTATTAAGCCTTTGTCACTGTCATTACCACAGCCAATCATTGAAATACTGCATTTTTTAAAATCGTGTGAGTTTATGTAAGAGGGAAATGCATCTGGGAAAAAAAAAAGCTGTGCCTGTAAAGCCCTCTGCTCCGTTTTGCAGGACGGTGGGGTTTTAAGCAGAAGGGTGGAGAGCAGCCTCTTTGGATGGGATCTGAGTTGGGAGGGGTGGAAATTCCTATCTACCGCTTTTATTTTGCAATTGCAATTTTTTTCTATCGCCTCGTGATCAATATTTAGAGGAATAAAATACCATTTAATATCTTTTTTTTTTTCCTGAAGAATATTTTATGAAGTCTTAGAAACACATGGTGTTGACTTTTCCAAGTAGTTGAAACTGCCTAGCTGTTTTAAAAGTACATAAGGAAAGCAACGATGGCATAAGCAAAATAAATATTAAATGAGAGGGACAACTATTACTTTCCTTAAGTAACCATGTAATCCCTTTTTTCTTACGGTAACATATTTTCCACAAAGAAGATGGGTCAAGGTTGAATCCTGTACAGTCTCCTTTTTTTTTTTTTTTTTCTTTTTTTTTTTCCCCTCCCCTCGTGTAGGGCAAATCAAATGCTCGACAACGTTTTTTTGTTAGGAAAGCACACACACACACAAAATTTTGAATATACCAATAACAGAAAATGTATATATATTTTTATTGCAAGAAGGAGATTTCATTGGTTGAGTGAGATGGCGAGATGTGACGCAAAAGGACACTTGGACGGGTAGAAATGCTGATGTATGCCAAAGCAGGCGTACCAAGAAATGCTGTTGCTATGAGAGAAACAGAGGGAGAGAGAGGGAGAGGGAGAGAGAGAGAGAGATCGGGAGAGAGCAAGTTGTGGAGGCCTTATTTTTTCCTTTTTGGCTTCTAGCAGAGACTGCAACATCTCCCGTCGCTAGTGGGGAGGGTCGAGAAGCTTTTTGGTGGGTATTTTCATTAGGCTGAGCATTTAGAGGAGAGGAGGGAGAGGAGAGAGATGCAGGTCACCTTAGAGTACAAAAGCAATTGGAAAGTAGGAGGCTGTATATACTGAGCCAATGATCTGTGCTATGATAGATATACAAATTAGTACGACAGATGAAGCAGCTTAGCTCATTATCCACCTGATGGTATTAAGACTTAAAAATCAAAATTACAAAATTAAAATGCACACACACACAGACGCAGACAGACATATATTTATAATGACCCCACCTTTTCAGCTTATGAATTATCCAGCTGGGATACCGACGTCTCTTGTGTAACATTCTTAAAGAGCTGCAATAAATTCACCTCGTGAGTCCATTAGCCAGAACAGGGGGGAAATAATTTGCAAGGAAATTTGTTTTTGGGTCTCTCTCTTCTTCGGCAAGGGGGAAAAAAGTTTGTGCTATGAACTTAGCCTAGCAGCTTCTGGAACGTGAGCCAAAAGGGGCAGGAAGTTGTTTTACAATAGCGTTACAGTGATCCGCCACAAATGGAAAAAGCCAAATGTTGGACTCGGCAAAGAGAAAAAAAATATCCTTCTCCCCCTCGTTTCCCTCCTTCTGCCCCTTATGAGAGAAAAAGAGAAAGGAACGTTGAGCTAGGAGTTCTTTTTCTTTTTTAATTACTTCTTGTAAGTAATGGAAAGATTATCTGACTTGCATATTCCATGGCAAGCACGAGGGAAAGAAGTATCAAAGGGACGTTTAAAAAAATGCACTTGGTAACTAGCAACGGGACTTTTGGCACAATTCCTTGAGTTTGCTTGAGGTTATGGAGGGGGGATGGGAAGAAGAAAAGCAAGTCGACGCAGTACATTTTCTTTAAAAAAGGGGAGGGGGAACGGAGGAGAAACTATATAAAACTTTTTTTTTTTTTTTTTTTTAAAAAAGGAAATGTGCAGTGATCCTCCGAAGCCGAATCCTCCGGCATTTGTGGCCCGTCTTTGCAGTCCGATATGTTTTTTTGTGAGTGTGTGGAAGCGCTCTCAATCAAACAGCAATCATGGCAGCTGTTTTTCTTCCAGCACAGCAGTTGAGCTGTCTCGCCCAAATGCTTATCAGCTTTTGACTTGCTGCCAAGATAGTTATAAGGGCCAAGCAGCCTGAGCTTGGCTGTGCAGCTGGTTTAGAAGTAAGGGCATGAGAAAACAAAATCACCCAAGTTGGTTTTTTTGGTGGTTTTTTTTTTTTTTTTTTGGTCACACGCAGTATTTACTTTTTCAAATATCCATTTTCAGCTCTGTGGCTTTGGGGTGGGTTGGTTTTTGGTGATGTTTTGTGTGTGTGTGTGTGTGTGTGTGTGTGCTGCAGTGTCGTGGTCCTGGCGGACTGCTTTGCCAGAGAGACACGTCTGGGTACGTGTAAATAGAGAGAGGAGCCTTCTCTCCCTTTTAATCCCGAAAGATATTTCAGTAGGAACCCTCTCCCCCCCCCCCTTCCAATTAAAAGCTTCATTAGCCGCACTGCACTGTCAAGCATGTTGCCCTAGCGTGGGTGCAGATGCATTCCAGCGCTGGGTCCTTCCCCCCAGT